GCTCGACTTCGACCAGCTCGCAAGAAGGGTTGGGGAGAAGACGAGTTGAAAAACTTATGTTTATCAGCTATGAAGCTGCTAAAATCATTGCTCGACTTCGACCAGCTCGCAACAAGGGTTGGGGAGAAGATATACGGGAGATAGCAGCAAGATAATTTGAATTACAATTAATACAAGCGATGAAAGAAAAAGAGTAATATTGATATAAAAAAAAATAGAGAGCCCATTACATTCCGAGTCGCCTCGGCCTTTACAGATCTTGAAAATAGGCCGAGGCGACATATCCTAACAATTTTCTTTCAAAACAAAGGAAACAAGAACAATCTCAAGACTCAGCATCGGATTTTTCCTCCTCACTACCACCACCAGCAACGACCGTCTCGGTCTTTTCACCCTCATTAGCAGCAATTTTCTCACCAGCACTAGCAACCTCCTCCTGCTCCACCTCCTCGACTTCTGCCGCCCCGACCTGCTCATCACGCTCCTCGACGTCGGAGGACCCCACGTGGTCCGCTCCATTTTGCCCGACTAGTTCGGTCAGACCAGCCAAAGGAGCGGGGGAACCTCGAGATGACCACTGAACCCGGCCTTACGAATGGCCCTTGCCTCGAGACCAATCCACCACGGGTGGTCCGCGGGAAGAGCCACACCACCCTTATAGCCGTCGGGAAAGGGGAGCGTTTTCTTCACTTCCTCGCGAACGAGTTTGCTGGCGCACTCTATCCCGGCCACTGCCGCCTCCCACGCATCGAACGTATGATTAATGTATTGAAGAGTCGCGGGGCATAGCATGTCGAGGAAGGCAGAGGAGTTGCAGAAGAGCTTGATAGCCTCCTGACGGTAGTGCTCGAGGAACACCGAGCCAACCGGAGACTTGAGAAAAGTCCGGCGCCCCTCGAGGATCTCGGCCTCCCTCTCTACCATGCTATCATCAACAGCCTTCGCCAAGTCGGCGCGCAATTGGTCGACCGTCGAGAGGGCAGCAACTTTCTCAATCTTGAGTTTAGCAATCAAAGCATTGGCGGCCAGGAGGTCATCATCTTTTTTCTCGAGCTCAAGGAGTTTATCCTCATACTTCTTCTTGAAGGAGCCAGCGTTGGAGTCAGGTGAGCTGGTGTCCTCAAGGAGAGAGGACATGATGAATGCCACTGAAAGAGAACCATGAATAAATGAAGTCAAGTAGATACAATCGACTGAAAAACAAAGAAAAATAATTACCCGAGAAAAGCACAGAAGAGCGCGGCTAGCGCGATCATAAGGATCACGATCGGCGCGAGCCTTATCTGCAGCAGGGATAATGGAGTCGAAATACTTAGCGATCTCGTGAGGATGAGGGTGATCCCAAAGTCGGGAAGGTCTCTTCGAGGGTGACTGTCTCGAGCTGGCCGGGAGGAGGAGTTTGCTCGACGGCCTTGCCCTTGTCCTTGGTCTTCTGGAGCTTGAGCGAGCCAGGGACAAGAGTGACGTCAACCGCATCTTGAGCCCGCTTCCGGGGAAGCGAGCCCGAAGCCTTTTTCTGACTCCCCGAGGACGGGAGTAATACCTTCGACTTCTTGACGGCAGTCGTCTCGACTACCGCCTCTTTCATACCCGACCCCGAGCCGCCGTCGGGTTTCTTCGGAGGCGTAGGTCGAGCGGCAGACTTCCCGTCGCTCTTCGTCTTCTCAAAGCGAGCAAGAACGGAATCTGCGAATAAGTATCAAAAGTGTCAGTCATATCGGCATAAAGACTTCAAGTAAAGAAAGCATGGAGATCCGACTTACGAGGGTCGTCAAGACGAGGAACATCCTCGTCGACAACGAGGCCGACATGGTTAAGAAGGGACATCTCTTTGATCAACGGACGAGCTTTATAAGTGTGTTTATTGAGCTCGGCCAACATCGACTCAAATTTGTCGCACCGTGGCCGTTTATTTTGTTTGACCTTGGAGAAAATCCAAGTGTTTGGGTATGGATATTTACCAGAAGCAGGACGAATAAAAATAAACTTTGATTTCCACTTAGTTACATTAGAAGAGAGGTCATCGAGAAAGGTGACACCGGCACGACGACCCAAGTAATGAGCGTCTTTTATGAATCGATAGCTATAACAATAAAAAAGAAACTCTAGAGAAAAATATTCAAGTTTTATTCTGGATACAACAATGAAGGCGATCATGATGCGAATCGCATTAGGGGAAAACTGATTTATGGGGACATCGTACAAATCACTAATAGCTCGGAGTTCGGGCTGAATTGGAAAGCGAAGGCTGAACAGCACTTGGTCGATAAAAAAAGTGTAAAAGCCAGGTGGGGGATTAGTGAAGTCATCATTGGGCTTGGGAACGACCAGTTCCCAATCGGCGGGGAGACCGCTGAACACCTTAAAGCCCTCGACCTCGGCTGCAGAGACATAACAAAAAGGATTTAGAACAGCTAACTTGGCTAATGGACATGCTACAGAAACAACGTTTTGAGCCTCGAGAAGGGGCGCAATTATGGGTAAAGAAGAAGGACTTGTTCTATACACAGGTAAATGTAAGATCCTAAGGGGAATACCTCGGGGAATGAGGCCGAGACGAGGAGACCCTCTGGTTCGGGAAGACTCAGGATCCTCCATCAAGACACCCGACATCCACGCTTGATTATAGGCGTCTTGGTCAATACCAAAGGAAGAGGCGTCGGAAGTAGGAGAATTTTGTGATTAATCGACTAACTTATATCCAACCACTTATACCGAGTCGGATGATTGAGCGCCTTCATCAATCAAACGTTCAACAGTGTCGGGCAAAGAGTCGAAATCAGAATCTAGAAGAACGAAAAAGAAAAGAAAGTCGAGATCAGTAAAGGAGAATTTAGTATGAAGCGAGAACCAACGCAATCGACAATAGGCACGTCGACTTGAGAAAGTCACTGCGAGTCGAGCAAAAGAAATGAGGAAGGATAAATACCCGACTCGCCCTAATCGTGAGTGCGAAAAGATACGATGTATCGGATAAAACCAACCTAAAGAAGCGCAAATCGATTCCGTTCCAAAAGTCGATAGGCAGCAAAGTGGGGCAAAAACAGAAATCCAGAAGAAAAGTTAAGCTAGAAAGATCTAACGAAAAGCCTATGCGAAAATTTTGAAGAACACCCAAGGGTTTTCAAGCTCAAGAAAACCCAGAGAAAGATTCAGAAAATCGCGAAAAATAAGAAAGTAAAAAGCAAAAGATGTTGAGAAAGCATTGCACTTACACATGATTGCAGCAAAGAAAGTCTCGGAGAAACTGGTGATTGCCGGAGAACTGACTGCCGATGAAGCTCGGGAGCGCCTTGATTGCCGGAGAAGTTCGAAAGCTCAGAGAGAATTTGAGAAGAAGTGAAAAGTGATTTGGGGCCGACGGAAAGGGTATTTATACAGGATAGAGGTGAATCCTAACCCTTAGATTAAACAGAGATCTAACGGTCCGGGTGAGCCACGGGATTCGAGGCGGCGGCACTAAAGTGGCACATCAGATTCAGATTTTAAATTTGAAATTTGAAAAGACATTATGTCAGAACTTATCCAAAAAGCAATCATGAGGTCCTAAAATAATCTCTCGGGATGACGAGACGAGTTACAAGCAACGGAGTAGAGGAGAAGTCGCAATCCAAATTAGAAAGTGTAGCAGGGATGGATCGAGCAAAGACATCAAGAAGAACCTCGAAGACGGCAAGAGAGTGACAAGCAAAACTAGTAGATATAGTCGACCACCAAACTTACTCTTAAGCTCTAGTCCACTTAGAGTAATTTTTTTGGGGGGAGATGATATAGCCATATTATCATATACCGGTTCTGGAATCCTACTCGACTAAGATAACAAACTCAGACCGTCCACAGGGCGATATGTTCCCATCGACATACCCAAATCGACTTCCGCAAAGTCGACTCTACGTAGAACAACAGCGAAGAGGCAAAAATTTGGTCAGTCGACTTTCGTAGGTCGACCTCAGTCTGTCGACTTCCAATAGTCGACATCTGTATAAGAACCACAAGAGCGTAACCTCCAAGCATTCAGATACCCTAAGTCGACTCCCAGCAGTCGACTTCACTAAGTCGATTCTCTGAAGACGACTTCCACTCGAGAGAATTAACCGAGCGTAGCCTCCGAATCCTCATATGATCATAAGTCGACCTCCTAGCCCTTGAGGCCGACTCTGTATACCTCGAAGACTAAAGATGTGATGACGACTCATCACACTTGAAGCTTTACATCTTTCAAAGGGATAAAGGAGAATCTTGTGATGACTCAGCAGCAAGAGGAGACGAACCGACCGGGGCATTTTGGACCTTTTAGGTCCACCGACTTGGGCATTTCGGGTACTTCAAGTAAGCATTCACTCCTATATAAAGGGGATGAGGTAACCCTAAACCCTAACTCTCATTCATTCCACACTCCTCTCATAGTTACTGCGCAGCATCCTTCATCACTCTCATACTGACTTGAGCGTCGGAGGCTCTACGCCGGAAACACCTCCGATTCTTGCATTGTTCATCATTTGCTCTTAGATTATTAGCTTAATTTCGTGTAATCATCTCCAATCAAGCGAGTAGAATGTATAGGACCTTGTTTTTGGTTATGTGACTTTGACAACTAGGCAGTGAACGAAGCTCTGAACATCCTTCCTTTGATAACGACCCGAGTCGGGTAACTCGGTTACCACATGCCCAAAAATACTACAAACAGTCGTCAGATTTTTGTTGGGAGAGGTGATGGTGGTCGACCTCCAAGTGTAGTTTTGTCGGTCTGAATATAGTCAGCCTTAGCCTTTCCTTCAGGAGTTGGGAGTTTCTAGATATGTATCTGGGGTCGTGATCCTGTCTTTCTTGGGTGTCATCTTCGGGTGTTAACTTCAAGTGGTGGAGTTTTTTTAGTAGCTTGCCGGGAGTGAGGAGGATTTTAACTATTTTTATTGTATTAGTATTTTCTAGTTCTTAGGTGTATGTGTTTGTCAGTTTGTGTGTGGTATTGTGATTTTCATTCATTATATGATGAATGGACTATGTATATAAACTATACATATACACAACAACAACAATAAAAATCACTTTATTTTGTTTTAAATTAGATTTTGAATATTTTAAAAATATAAAAATGTCTAAAAATATACTGTCTATATACTCCACATATACGTACCGTCTGAGCAAAATGTAAATAATAATTTGTTATAGGTTTTGTTATACTTATAATTTATCACATAATCTAAAATGTAAATGCATACATCTTATTTGAATTTTTAAACGTTGTTCAATCAAATTTTAAAGGCTGCTGAGACTTCAAAATCGTGCCTATTATNACCGTTGCCTATTATATATACCTTTGTAATTTGTTTATTTTATGAATATTAATGAACTTAGAAGTTGACTAATTAAAAATTGGCTCCAACTATATATACACACTGCATAAATCTCCACAAGCATAATACATAATACCTGAGTAGGAAATAATGAAGAAAGATATGGACTATTCATCATCAGGTGACACTGAGTCAAATATCCCTAAAGCTGCCGATGGCAACCTCCACCAACACCGCCATCGCTATTTCCCGGGCACAACCGTTAAGCTGCTAGACAGAGTATGGACCACGGAGAGAAGCCAATTGGGTACAAGATTCTGAAAATAAAAGAGAATAGAAGGAAGTTAAGGCATTAAATCCCATTAAATCCGTTTCTTTTCCTAATTAAAGAATAAGCTGACTTAAATTTGAATTCTAGTATATGTGTAATTTTAAAGTAATTTTGTATCTTTGCAAATAAATATCAATTAGGTGTAAATATGTAATATAAAATATTAGTATAAGGTGTAAATTCCTCTTTAATAAAATTACACATGCCGACTACAAAAACCGTAACCCCGAGACAAGCACATACAAGTTGTTGAAACCATCACACTTTGTGGGCTTTTGCACACTTAATGGGTTAATTCAATATACTACCTATGGCATATCCACCATATTTGATCTGCTTGATATTGGGCCTCCGTCCAACAACATATTTATGTGAAATATCTGAGGAAGTTGGCCAAATTTCATAAGAAAAAAAATCCCACTAAAAAATCTGATATATATGATTTCCATTTCTGATCCCATTTTAGCCACAATTAGACACGCTAAAAAAATGGTTAACAAAAAAATATTTAAATTAAAATAAATATTGAGTTAATAAAACAAACTAAATATTTCAAAATTTAAATAAGAAAATAACAGTTATTTAAATTCAAACAAAAACATCTCATAAGAAAGCACAATAAACCATTACAGAGAGCATACAAAAAAACTCAGTAAAAAATTAAAGTACTTGGATTATAGTGTAAGAAGATTACATATATTTTAAATGTTGCAACTACATAAAGGTACTTGCGAACACTGACTTATTACAATGAACATCAATGAAGCAACAACAAAACAACATTACAAAACTACCACGAAACATAAAAATAACTTTGAATTAACAAAAAAAGAAATTACAAATTATCAATAAACATAAAAACAACTCTCAACTTAAATAGAACATCACCTAAACCCCCCGACTTGTCAATTTCCGGTCGTCGTACGAACCGTCATGGTGCTCCACTGTCGATTCCCTACCAATCTCTGATTATAAAAGTCGGTTGTCGCCAGTCCACCACCGCAGTCCCCAATGCCGAGCATTTCGAGAACCATCGCAACCCCAACCGAAATTCAACCCATGCCCTCTAGAGCCATATCTGCAGCCACCAAAACATTTTGGCCGCCATGGTCGACCATAAAATTGCCTATATTTAGGAATTCAGAAGGGAAAATAAATTGGACTCACAATTTTTATCTCACAATTTCTCAGACAGAATCATCTCACAATTTCTCAGAAAATCATTCAAGCAAATCCAGAAACATCGATGAAGCAAAAAAAAAAAAGATTGTTTCTAAAATTTTACACACAACAACAAAATTTTTCATGACAAAATCAACTCACCAAAATGAAATAAAAAATAAAACGATCACTAGATTAAATATGACTCAGAGCATCTCCAATGATACATGGATTGCTCTCTTCCATTGGCACCTAGTCTCCAAAATCCAATGTGGCATTCAGTAAATCTAGAAGTCTTTCTAGATGTAGAAAGACTTCTAGACATCTTCCATTTTACATTATATTATTTATTTTAGATTTATGTTTATACCAACCAATTATTATATTACATGTGTCAAATTATCCCACAATTGAGATTAGCCATTGGAGATAAAAAATAAAATAAAATAAAATAAAAAATAAAAAAAAAAAAATTCCTTTCTCCACACCATACATCTCAAAATAGACATTGAGCCATTGGAGATGCTCTCACAAATTCGAACAGACTCGCTGGCTGCAGGCCTACTACTTCAAGAATTTCCGGTGTCTAAGGTCTGTGGGAGAGTCGTAGGTGGCGACGTTGTCACGGTGGTGGCGGGGTTCCATGGCCGAGCTCTCCGTCGGGGATCGCGGTTGGTTCTGGGGAATTTGGGGGTAATCATAGGTTCGATGACGTTGTCTTTGTGCAAATAGAATAGTGGTGGGCCCTATTATTAATAATAATAATAATAATAAATAATTAAAAAAGAAAAAAACCGCGAAAATATGAGACTCTAAATTGGTAAAGGAAACGGTAAAATTGGAAACATTTTATATCAATTTGTCTTTATTATTATTAAGGATATCATTGTGAAGAAAAATTTCTGAAGAAAAATTCTTAAGATGTAGGGGCGTCATTTATTCAAATAAATATTATAAAGGGCCCACTCATGAGCTTAATTGGAGAGAAGCCTAATATTATTTTACAAAATGGGCTGAAGCCGAACCATTGGCGACGATTACCGAACAAAAAATTGTCGACTTTATTTGGAAATCAATCATATGTCGGTTTGGTGTACCGAGTTCAATCATAACCGACAACGGTCGACAGTTTGAAGGAAAATGACTCGAGGCTTTCTGTAAGGATTATCAGATAAAACATTACTTCTCTTCACCATATCATCCTCAATCCAATGGCCAAGTTGAAGCGATCAACAAGATAATCAAGAACGGTTTGAAAACCCGACTTGATGCCGCAAAAGGGACCTGGCCGGAAGAATTGCCAAATGTGTTATGGGCCTACAGAACGACAGTTTGGCATGCAACCGGGGAAACACCTTTCTCCTTAACGTACGGGTCAGAAGCTATTGTCTCTGTTGAACTCGGATCCCCGACATACTGAGTAACAAACTTTCACAACAAAACCAACTCGGAGAATCTGAAAACCAACTTGGATCTCTTAGATGAAACTCGCCTCATGGCAGATCTCAAAAATATTGCATATAAACAAAGAAGTGAAAGGTATATCAACTCAAAGATAAAGCCTCGTTCATTCCGAGTTGGAGACCTGGTACTTAAAAGAATTACTGGATCGGATCCGGGACCTTTGAAACCGAAATGGGAAGGACCATTCAAGATAAGTCAAGTACTCCCAAAAGGTACCTACCGACTTGAAAAGCCAGATGGACTTGCTCTTCAATATCCATGGAATGTTGTTTATCTGAAGAAGTACTTCCAGTAATTGTTTGCGATGTATCTATGACTCTGTACACTTTTTTTATGAATATAAGAAAATTTGTGTGCTGAAGAGTCTCTTGAAAAGAACCGAGTACTTTAACTCGGTATAGTATTAGTCTTTACGTAGCCAAGCCTTTAAACTTGGACAAGACTAATATCTTATTAAAAAAATCTAAAGGATTATCTTGATCTTAACCGAGCTCTATAACTCGGCAAGATATACCCTTTCGGCTAAAGTATTAACCTTCAAATGACTAAGTTCAATAGCTTAGGAAGGTTAAGGGCAAACTTTAAATTAATGGAACAAGTATCTTTAAATTCAGGTCCTCGAGTTTCATCTGAGTAAGAGAAAATTCCATTTTCCATCAACTTATAATGAAATTAAGTTGATGAAGCCCACTTATAAAAATTAAACACTTTGCGGACATCTCAACACTTAAAAAATTCAGCAAAAGTAAAATGACCTGCTGAATATGATAAGTTCCGACTTCGATAAACTTGTGAATGGAAATAAGCAAAAGTGTTTCATTCATAATAAGATGTTGTACATCGGAAGCTATTACAACTATGAAATAAAATAAACTAAGTGTCCCGACATGCCGGGAACACTTCAAAAAAAGAAAAGAAAAGGCAAAAAACAGAAGAATAAAAGGAATTCAAGACAGGCTAAGCACTATCATTTTCCTTAGTTGCTTCCTCATTCGCCTTGTCAGCCCGCAGCGAGTCTTTCACATCCTTGCCAGTGATTTGCTTGAACATCTGTCTGCCGATATGTTCGAGCACCCGATCTTTCTCTGCCTTAGCAGCCTTCTCAACAGCTGAAAGAGTTACCGGAATGCGCTCATCAACAGCAGCATCTTTCTCGGTAACTCCATGAACTTCAGTCCTTTCCGGCTGCTCGACGCCCTGAGACAATTCTCGGATTTTCTTTTCAAGGAAAGCCAGAACTGCCTTTTGAATTTGCTCCGGGGTCATCTTCTCAATCTCCTCCTCCATATTAACTTCCGCTAACGTCTTCACATAGACGTCAGTGAGCTCCGTCCTCTTTTCTTTTTCGGTCTCAAGGAGCATATCAACAAAAGACCGACGGAGGCGAGCATCTCTTTCTTTGCTCAGAGGGGGAGGGCAAGGAATTTCTGAATTTTCATCAGCAGATTTCAAAAGCCACTCACAGAATTCTTTCTCATCTTCGTCGGCATTGATGTGAGCGGACTCGATCTTGGAATCAAAGTTGTGCTTCTTAATTTTGAAAAGAAGATATTGGCGCAGCTCTTCAACATCATAAAGACCGGCATCAAATCGCTCAACGACCCAACGAAGGTTGATGCAAGTATTCATCTCCAGCTCTCGGTCTTCATCCTCCCAGCTTGAAGACCATCATTGTATTTTTCCTCAGCAAACTTGATCTTTTCCTCTTGAAGTCTGCTGAGGTCGGCACGATGAGCATCTCGATCTTTCACAAGCAATTCTTCAATCTCGGACTGACTTTTCCGAGTAACCTCGTGAGCTTCTTGCTCCTTGCAAAGCAGTGATTCACACCGAGCCAATTGTTCCTCAAGCATTTTCACACGCTGCTCGGAGGTGATCACTTGACTAGTCAGTTTGAGCACATCAGAATCAAGACCAGCCTTCTAGGCTTTCAGAGTCTCAATTTCACTCTGAGCAATAACAAGCTGTTGATCTTGTTCGGCGACCTTCGCCTTCATCTCTCTTTCTTTGGTTGTCGCCTCTTCTCTCAGAGATGCAAGGGCTCCATCTCTGAGCTCAAGTGTGTGTTTCTTCTCATCCACTTGGGCTGCGTTCAAACGGAAGTCGTCTTCAGCCATCGCCAAGCTGACTAGAGCTCGGCCGAGATAAGCTTTGGCGTATCTGAACTTATACGCACTCGGCAGAGAGGACACACCAATCTCGGATCTCGGATCCCATACCATCATTGGAACCCAAGCGGCATCAATAACATGGCTTGGCAGCTCAACCGAACTAGAGATCTCGGGAATCTTCACTGATTCAAAGGTCGAGAACCATTTCTCGACCGACTCCCGAGGTTGCCTAAAGTTCAGCACCCTTTTCTCATCGATGGGTAAGAATGAGCTTTCAACCAACGGCTCCTTTTTCTTCCCTTCTCGCTGACCGACATCATGCTTCTTCTTCGTTCGTCCCTCAACAACTGGGACACTATCAGCACGTCTTTTTCTTTGTCGGGTTAACGGAGCCTCCTGCTCCTCAACCACATGTTGGTTACCCTCGGGCTCAAAAGAAACAACTTCAACAGTTGACGGGGCCTCGGGTGGAGTAACTTCAGAAACCGGCTCAACTTCAAATGAACCGGTAACAGAGACAGCGGTAGCAGTAATCGGGCCAAACGCCGCAATCGTTAAAAGATTTGGTTGCATAATTTCGGCAGCAGCAACCGACGTCGCACCATCACCGACGTCGGTCTCTTTCGGATGCATAATCGGGTTTGCCAGGAAAGCCTTTATCAACTTCTTGCGACCCATTTCTGATAAGCGTTGCTCTTTGCTTTTTCCGACTTTGGTTCGAAGATCTAAGTTCGGACTCTTTTGACGAAAAGCCTTGGCTTCACGAATAGTCTTGAATCCAAGCACTCCGAGAAGTGGGTAATACACTACAACAAGAGAAATCCGAGTTATGATTGTCTTTATGGCCAACCGACTTCAAATAAGATGAAAATTTATAACTCAAAAATTACCTGGTTGAAAACAAGGATCTGAAATTTCTGGGCAAAGACCAGCCGTTTTCAACCGCGAGTCCTTCAAAATCAGTTTGAAACTGCGCTGTTCTTTCTTCAACTTCAGCAGCTCGGCAATTCTCCCTTTCAACTCCGCACCGAGTTTTAATTCCTTTCTTCTGGCTGCAAATAGTAAAATTGCTTACATGTTAGTACGAAAATAAAGTAAAGTCAGAGCAACTCGGTATAAGCGACATCAAAAAAGACTTACAATAAGCAGAATTGATTTCGATGGGTATCGACATCCCATCGATTAAGGGTTTAGAAAAATTTAGAGTTTGCCAGTCCCCGCCAACCCATAACCACTCCTCTTGGAATCCGTGGAGTGAATCTGGGATATCGGTAACTAAGTCGCCGACTTTCAATCCGCCTTGTGGCTTTCCCGCGCAAGCGTAACAAATCAACGGGTCGGTCACTTGCCTGTCGGCACATCTTCTAAACATGAAGAGACTTCTTATCTCTTCGGCCGTTGGCATGTCCCAACCCTTTTCCTTCAATAGCACCATAAGACCGATGATCCTCTTCCACGTATTTGGTGCTATCTGACATAAACCGAATCCCCAATCTCTTAGTAGTCAGTAATCAGAGCAGGGAGTGGAAATCTCAATCCCGACCTCAACGAATCAGCGAAAACGCCTACATAGCCTGGAGGAGGGCAGGTTATTCTTTCTCCCGGATAAGGAGCAAACAACCTAACCGAGGAAGGAACATAAACTTCCCCCCAAAGCATGACGATGTCGGCATCAGTCAAAATGCTCAGCTCACCTCTATACTCGTCAATTGGTTCGGGCCATCGACGTGCAGGACGCCTCCAATAATCTGGAAGAGACATAGCATTATCTTCTACCGACTTGTCCTCCTCGATTATGTCCTCATTCATATTTAATCTCTCTACAAGAATGGGATCCCACCGAAAATACTCTAGAGGCAGTTCCAAATCCTCGTCGGTAAAAATCCTAACCTCAGAAATAGTACGGCTACTGCTATCTTCGGCGTGGGAAGTCATCTTTCCAAAATCGATTAGAAAATAAAAACGAATTCGCAATTGACGAACGCAAAAAATACGAAAACTAAGGCAAAATCTTACCGAAAATACCAACGCCCTAAATTGAAGAAGATGCGAAGGGATTACGCAAATTGCACAAGATGGAAACGGGAAGAGAAATCTGAGAAGGATTGAGCACAAGAATGAAAGCAAAAAGTTCAGAGATCTAAAGGTAAAAAAACCTTTACAGTCAAAACCGACAGCAATTTATAGGTTTTGATTTATAACCGTTGATCAAACCCGGGATCGGCGCGTGTAACGGACGTGTCACTAAATGGTGCAACGTTACAGTAATGATTAACAGACGTGGGCAAATCCTGAAACGCCATGTCGCTTGACGATTCTATCCGTTGGACCCATTAAATGCGGACGCGTCTTTTGAGGACTGCCACGTCAGTCCAAACCTTACACAACCGTCGCAGATAAAATCAATGGCAAAACCAAGTGTTCTCATCTCGGTTATAAAGTAAAAGAGAAGTCGGAGAACAACCAAGTCGGAATTAAAAGACAATAACGACATCAGCAGCTATTTTTACGAAAAGATCAAATACCCACTAATGTCGGGGGCCTCTCTATCGATGACCAACTTGGTTTCATAAGATTAGAGCTAAAGACTAATCGCCTCGTTCGATCAATGGTCCCGCAAAAATAGCTTAACTTAGCTCAAGTCAGTACCATATTAATTAATTACCGACTTCTTGACGGTCAAACCGACATCCAGATGATCGACAAAGTAAAACCGACAACTGACAACTTATCGAAAGCCGATAACCGACTTCACCGACATTATGAATACGATCTTTAAAATATTATCCATTCACCCGACATCCGAGGAGATCGAATTTTCAAGCAAGAGGAGCTGTACACATTC